GAATAAGACAGGTTCTTCTTTTGTGTGCTCGAAGAGTTAAAATATATAAAACAATTATCCTGCCCTTAAGGTCCTTGTTAAGGCACTCCTATCCCCTGTCACACGGAGGCATTTTCTGAATGCACTGGGCCTGTGTGCAAGAACATAAGTTGGGCCCCAGTGTGGACCTGCAACAAAGGAAAGCCATGCTACACTGCAGACATCTACACGTGTACATCATTTAACACATCACTATACCAACAAACAATATTCAGTAATAAGGTTAAGCATGTGCTGTGCAGAATCCTGGGGTATGACCGGATTGTACTAACAGTAGAAGGGTCTTAAAGAGTCATGGTTACATTAACAGATATTTACAACACTCAGCACAATCAATTAAAAGAAATTAAACCTTTCCATTAAATATTCTCTTCAGGCAGCAAGGCAGCACTCACTTAGCAACATTTTACACCCCCCCCCATTCACATTAGAGTTTCCTTTTATTTAGGAGTCCTCCCTTACATCTAAGTCCCCCAACATAGGAGTCCCCTCTTACATCAGAGTCCCACCTTAGACCAGTAGTCACCTTTTGATTAGAAACCTCCTTTAGACCAGGAACCCAACCTTGGATCAGAATCCTCTCTTTAGATCAGAATCCTCCTTTAGTTTAGAGTTCCCCCTTAGATCAGAGCCGCTCCTTAGGTTAAAGTCCTCCTTTAGACCAGAGACTCCTCTTAGATTAGAAACCCCCTCTGGATCAGAGTCTGACTTTAAATCAGACCCCCACTTTAGATCAGAGTTCCCTCCGAGATAAAGAGTCCCTACTTAGATCAAAGCCCCCCACCTCAATCTATAGTTCCCCTTTAGATCAAAATTTTCCATCAGATCAGGACACCTCCCTTAGATCAGAAACCCCCCTTCCCTTAGATCAGAAAATTTCCTTACATAAGAATCTGCCTTTAGATCAGAGTCCCCTTTAGATCACGAGTCTCCACTTAGATTAGAGACCCCCCTTACTTTACGACATGGGAACCCTGGAAGCCATGATGAGGTAGCCAGAGAAAGGAAACAAAGCTGGGAGGTGGAACTGCTCTACACAGAGGAAGTTTTGTCCTGCTGTGCAAGAATGTCATTGATTACTAGGATTCCAGTGGTCCTAGCAGCCAATGACAGCAAATAGGATGGCGGGGGGGGGGGGGGGTGTTGAGAGCAAAGATGCAGAGAGCAAAGGCAGCCACCAGGAACGTGTGCAGTTTGTAAGAGCACAGTAAGCCCCATCCTCCTTGGGGCCCATGTACCCACTGAGGATAAACTACTGCTGTCAGATAATTTCCCAATGAAGACTACAAGCAGCTGTTTTGAGCACATTGCACTGGCATTGTCCACTGTTATCACCATCAGAAAAGCTGCCCTGAGAAATGATGTGTAGCCATCGCAAGAAGCAGCCACAAGAAGCCTGCCAAGGATTAACAGTGCTGATATGCAACAAAGGATGAAAAAAGGTGAAACTGTATTTTTAAAAAAGTTGCAGTTGTTTATAATGCACAGTGCTTTAGCAAATAAAAATTAATTTAACTTACATGTACTCTATATATGGTGCTGGAGTGACCATCATTAAACATTTTTGCAGAAGCTACCAAGCACATAAAGAAAACAGCATTGGCAATCCCAGTCTTAGTGAACAAAAAACCCCCTTAGGCTCAAATACATTAACAGTTTTAGCACATTTATTAGATTCCATAGGTTAACCAGGAAGATGCAACAGCCTTTATCATATGCAATAACGTGAGTGAAGAATCCCACCACCTTATGTTCAATTTTAATATTTAATCCATTTCTCTTTGAAGTACCCTCCCAGGATCATTTCCTGATCTGAAATGAAATTTATATGTAGTTTTTATTTAGTCCAAAACACATTTACAGACACAGTCATAGACACTGCCTGTGTCAAGAAAGCTATATTTCTGAATGTTACACCTTAGTGGATCTCCGTAACAGTCTGTCCACTGCTAGATTCAATTAGTGCTCTGTATGTTGGTCAGGCTTTTATAGTAAATCATGACTTGAAGTCTTCTGAAGAATAACTGTATTTTTTATTAACTTACTATGTAGGTCTGACTAATGAGATCATGAATACTGTATATAATAGTAGTCTTAGTGTTTTGTCAACTACTCCGTCAATATGCTAAAGGAAGATAGTGGATAGCTGAAGGATCACCATGGCCAACAATATGACTTTTTTCTATCTCTTTTTAAATCAAGTATAGGGTCCGGTTCTGTTGTATAGAGTTAAATACTAGTTTACTGCATGGCATTTTGATTCTTGTTGACACTTTTGGAAAATGGCCTTGATAAATCTCACTTATACGGAAGGGTACTACATATATACACTGGCATGATTTCAACTATACTTGGTGAGAAGGGGGTGTCTGGCAGAAGAAACGGCATCCTTGTAAACATGGAATTACCTAATTAAAGCAAAGTTACCAGTAGAGCATAGAAATACATATTTATAGAGAAAAAGTGTCTTTGGTACTCTTTACACCATACCAAGTTGACTTCGGTTTCGGTCATACCGAATCTGACTTTGGAATCATGCGACTTCACTTGAATTCACATGATTTCAAAGTCGGATGTCAGTGCGACTTGGAAGACATCTGTGCAACGTCATGCACAGATATTTATGCAAGGTGCACCTGAACTAATTTCAAAATTGGTGCAAATCCGGCTTAGTCGAAGTCGCACCGATTTTATCGTTTCCATTGCGAAGAATAGGATCAAATTGCAAGGAAATGATCAAATCGCATGACAATTTGTACCGGTGTGACTGGGGTTGAAACTGCAGAAGTACATGTTTAGTATTTTGGAGCACATGGCATGTTAACCAATCAGGTACAAATAAATCATCACTGCACACAATTCTTTTTCACACAGATATACAATATTCTACCTTGCTTAAACTGGTGTGTGAATGTTCTGTCTGAGAAGGGGTTTTGTTATCTGTGACTTTCGAAAGAAGCAGTTGGCAAGTTTCAATCCACTCATCACTTGAAACCTGAGGAAGTAAAAAAAAGATGAAGACAAAGAAGAGCAATGAATAACATGAAAAACTATAATAAAGGAAGATTAAAAAAATGCACCCTAACTTTATATTTAAATAAAAAGAGTAAACCTTTTCCAAAAGAAATAGGTGCTTGCTATTGCTACCCTCATTCTGAAGATGCTAGTTGCCTGTTTTATTTTCTAGATAAGAACAAGTACACAAGCAGATTAAGAAAGGGCAACCTACCTGTCATAGAAGAAAGGTAAATTTAGATCATACATTAAGTAATATGGCATGTCCTGCTGCTTGCTTTTTCAAAGCCCATTTACCTAGTGAAAGTCAATTTCCTATATGGTTCAGTGAAACATTTATGTATATAATCATTCCAAACTGAACTGTAACTGTTAAAATGACCACAGAAAGCATCTCTGTATATGCTTATACAACAGGCAAGGCTCATTGTTATCATGCATGTGCAAAACAGACCATTATGATTCCAAAATTATCAAAGAATCTTCAAGGTGACATAATTAAGTTCTAAATTAAATTATTCCTATTCTCAATTAAATGATTGTTCACTATATATTGGATACTCACTCTAGCAGACCTCCCTAAAATCAGAGTGTTTAAAGGACAGGAGATAAACATGCTTTACTATGTGAACCAGTGGTTGTCAATAATAGTAATAGGGGCCTCAACTGAGACCCCTAAGAGTACCAATGTGCTGCACATAATATTCAGGAAATTAAATGATATTCAGACAATGTAGACATGCTGCAGGTGTTTTTTGGAGACTGCAAACCTAATGAAGGAGACAGTTAAGAGACTGGAGATACGTTACCTAAAATCAATGCTCCCACAACTAGGACCTGCAAAGGGCCAATATCAAATACCAAAGGGACGCAGGTTGGGCATCAGAGGTACAGACTTATACAGGAATTATATATGTACCTTGATTGTCTGTAGCTGCCTCAGTTCATAACCATCGTCTTCAGTCTGTGGAATGCTCTCTACCATCCCCTTACAACACCTAGGATACAAAAGATAACTTAATTTGAAACTAAAACTCAAATGTTAACCTAAATCCCAACTCTAGTTTCAAGTATTTTATTTAGGTTTGGATAGAGTGACAAAAAAGTTTACATTCATTGGCAGATAATTATTACTATGCTAATGTTTGAAACATGTCCTCCCACTTCCTTCCCCCTATCACTGACACATTGAATTGCCATTGAGTCCTTACTGAGGAAATTTCTCCTAATTTCCTTTACCAGTGACACTCTGTGTGCCTTGGTGTGGAAGAGTGTCAGCAGGATAAAAAGCAAGAGAAATGTCCCTGACAGGATCAGAGAGGACAGGAAAATACCTGTCAGAAGTATTAACCTATTCCCACAATGTCCACTAAAAGGGTTTTGGCTGGAACTGGGATTAACTCTCAGTTTCAACAAGTTTGGGATGATTTAAAGAAAATAACAAGTAAAGTAGTAATACTAAAAATAGATGATGGGCCAGTGGTTCTACCAACCAGCAGCCAAGTTCACACTGCCAATCACAGTGAGACAAACGTTTTGATGTTCGCATTCGGCAGGCAGTACCATTGCCAAAACACAACCTATTCAAATGAATGGGACCTTCCACAACTGTTCCACAACCGGGAGTAATGCACTCAGTTGCAGCTTCAGGCTTTCAAGGGTTAAAGGCTGTGAGGAGGTGAAATATTGCCTTGAAGCTGCATGTTAAATGCATCTGCCACCGTGGGTTACTTTTCAGCAATGACGACCACAAGTGTAAACAAGCCCAAAAATAGCAAAAAACCACTCAAATCAGTAAGTTATAGATTATTTATTCAGATATCAGCTTACCTCATGATGTAAGTGGAGAAACTGTTTAATTTATTTGATAAGTCAAAGGCTTGCTCTTGAACATTCTGCACAGGAACAGGAGAAGCAAATTCTTCCTCACCAAACTCATGTGTAGCAGTATGTGTGGCGTTTAAGGGATCAGAGGAGTAGTCTGGGGATAACAGGATCAGGATATTCACCATGTACTGGACCATTGCTGTGTGAAGAGTTGTTACCTGTATAACGATATATTCAGTATGTTTGAAATGGAATAACATTAAAGTACAGGAAAAAGAATGAATAGAAAGATTAGATTCTCAACGTTACCCAACAGTTCTTTTTGATGTGGTTTTACATGATTGCAAACTTGCTGTTATGTGTGTTAAAGAATACAAAAACCCAATAACCAAAATTTCATATAAGATTTAAAGCCGTATTAAACCCAAAAGCCAACATTTATTATATTGCAGCTTACCAATTCTTAGATGTGAAAGCTGCATTAGTTTTCTTTTTTTAGGCTTTTTTCTTCTATTTTCGTCTGGTTATCCAGCCAGTAAGTCTGTTAAAAGAATAAGTTCTCTTGCAGATGTATCCATTTACAGGAATGAGACAAACCATTTACTACTGACAAGGGTTCTTACAATGAGCAGTATTTATGTAAATACTTTATACCAAATTGAAAAAAAAGTATAAATGTAGCTGCTTATAAAGTATTAGCTAAAGTTTATAGCAAACTCACCCATGCTCAACCATTCAATAATGATTCACAAGTGAAGGCCAGTGCTCAGGCTAAAAACATCCACTGATATCTTCCAAAATATTAGCCAGAAACTTGATTGCTTCTAAATCCAGTTTCTTTACTGGTTACAGAATATCAGTACAGGAATTGTAAATGCTAACGCGTTTCGGCGAGAGCCATATTCATAGCATACAAAGATTAAAATCACATTCAACATATATAACATTTCAGCCCCTCCAATAAAGGTAGGGGCGGTGTTAACTTAATTGACTAAAACAATTCATTAGTTCACATTGGAAATCTACCTAAGCTGAAGACAACATAATAGGATGGTCAAAAAAAAAAAAAAAGGTGTGCTCCATCAATGGCACACATCAAATCAATACATACACACCATCATATATGAATGGTTATTTTTAAAAAGAAATGAACGTCCATCCTATTATTTAGCCCATGTGGAACCCTCCTACTGAGCATGTGGATCCACCACCACACTTTGCGTTGAAGTAAAATGTGATGCGTGCGATCCCCTCTGACAAGTTTCTTGACTTGCTCTAGACCATAAAAAAGGAGAAAAAATTGAGATTACCCTCATGTAACTCTGGTAGCCAGAAATCTTGCTGAATGATAGGTGATCAAATACTTATTTTCATCATGAACATGCAAATCAGTGCATAATTTGTTAGACATGCATTTCTTTTGATTTTTTGTTGCTATTCTATCCCTCAGTGTTACAATACACCTATCATTCGATTTTTAGAAAATCAAGATCAGCAGGGGATCAAATATTTATTTCCTTCACTGTATATAGACAGATTTATGCCTTTCCTAATCATGTCCAATCAACTGAATTTCCCAAAAGTGGACTCCAATCAAGTTATGGAAACATCTCAAGGATGATCAGTGGGAACAGGATGCACCAGAGCTCAATTTTGAGTGTCATTGCAAAGGCTGTGAATACTTATGTACATGTGTTTTTTTTTTTTATTTTTAATAAATTGCAAAGATTTAAAACAAACTTTTTTCACATTGTCATTATGGGGTATTGTTCGTAGAATGTTGAGAAAAAAAATGAATTTAATCCATTTTGGAATAAGGCTGTAACATAACAAAATGTGGAAAAAGTTAAGCGCTGTGAATACTTTCTGGATGCACTGTATATGTTTAATGTGATTTTAATCTTTGTATGGATAAGGCTCTTGCTGAAATGCGTTAGTATTTACAGATCCTGTACTAGTATTCTGTAACCAATAAAGAAACTGGATTTATAAGCATTTGAGTTGCCAGCTAATTTTTGGAAAATTAGCTAAAGTTTGGCTTAAATTTGTTAGACTACTTAAATATGCTAGTACATCTAATACTCCCCTCTTTCCAAAATGATAATGCTGCTGTCCAAATGCGCCCATCTGTCATCTTTTATCCAGACTGGGGGCACTCTAACGCAGGATGTGTTACTGGCCGGATTACCAGGAGCAAATAGAGGGAAAAAGCCTAAAAAGGAAAACTAATGCAGCCACCACATCTGATTGGTAAGGGCCAATATATTACATTTTGGTTTGGGGTTTAATACCACTTTAACAAGCCAAAGTAGTTTTAAAAATTGAATTTTCACCTTACTAAATGAGGGGTGGGCAACACGGCAAACAATATAAACAGGCCCATGTAACAAACAGGTCAGGAAAGGGATCAACAGAACTTGCAGAACCCTATTCCAAAACTGGCATCAAAGAAGACCTGCACATCCTCCTAGTAAAACTTAACATGTGAACAAAAGAGCAGGTGGCAGCCTTGCAAATCTGAGAAACAAATGCCCGGTACTGAAAAGTCCATGAAGCACTAACAGATCTAATGCATTTCAACTTAACAGGGAAAGAAGGAACTCTATTTCTTCAGACAATAGGCTTGACTTATGGCTTGTCTAATCCACTTGGAAATGGTGGAGCAAGAAGCAGGAAGCCCCCTGTGCAAACCTTCGGGAAGGATAAAGAAAGATTTCAATTGCTGAAAAGAGGCTGTAGCTAAGGTAGAATCTTACAGCATGTACCAGGTTGAGACAGGAGAGGGAATATTCCTTGGGATATTTAAGTTAGGATGTAAAGAGGAAAGGACAATATCCTGGTTGAGGTAGAAAGAGGAAATCAGGCTTTAGGCTTCAGGAAAACCTTGTCCTTTTGTACAGTAGGGAAGTTTATTTAGAGAAGGGTGCTAATTTCAAGACCCTCCATGCCTAGGCAACAGAAACAAGAAAAAAACCCTGCAAGTGAAGTCAAAGAAGGAGATATGCCTAATGGGTTTGAAGGACAGCATCTGAATTATCATAAGAAGCAGTTTACTGTCACAAAGTCATAAGGGAACGTACAGGGTGAGAAATGTGCGTGACATCTGGCACCCAGGCTCTAAGTAATCAAAGGCCAATGGTCTCTGAAACAAAACAGTCAGGGCCGAGATATGTCCTTTGATGCTACTCAAGGACGGATAATGGTTTAGTCTATACTGGAGAAAGGATAGGATGCGTCCTACAGGACACTTTCTAGGATGAAATTTCCTAGTCTTGCACTATGCAAGGTAGACCTTCCAGGTGCAATTGTAGACTTTGAAAGAGGTCTACTTCCTGACCTTTAGAAGGGTAGGGGTGACCAAATTCAATGGGCCACTGTCTCTCATGACCTGGGCTTCAACAGTTATGTCATTAAAGCCAGAGGTCAAGAAGCAGGATGTGGACCAGGCCTTGGGACAGAAGATTTGATGATTTGGAATGGCCCATGAAGAGTCCTTCAGGAATCTAAACATGCCTGGGTACCACATCCTCCAGTGCCAGTCTGGTACAATAAGAATCACAGGAATTCCTTCCATCTCAATCCTATCGAACAGATGAGGGAGGAACTGTAGAGGAGGAAAGAACTAGATTGGGTTGAATGAATATTTAGTGTGAAAATAAAAATATGAATTAATAAAAGCATATGAATGCAAATAAAATAATTACAAACAATCCAAGTTTTAAAAAAATCCATACATTGAATATAAAGTGTCCAGAAGGAAAAATTCTTAACATGATAGGATGAAAAAAAAAACCCTCAATCCAAATCACCTCTTACCCACACTGTGACACCAGCACCTATAAGATCTACACCAATGCAACCCCCAATTTATAGGTAGGTCACATTGAGAACTAATCCAGTAAGCATCCATTGTGAGTAAACAGCTACGCACTCCACCTACAATGCATATGTATCTCCAGCATAAATATACTGCTCAAATGAAGCAGAAGCTCAACATATTGTAATCCTGTCTTTAATAAAAGATAAAATCCCTTGCCATTTTTAACCTTACATGTATAAAGTGCACCAAGCTGCACTAGACTGTATCAGGCATATCATCTGGCCACCGTATATACCACATCTAATGGTGTGAATAACACAATAGCAATCTTCACTGTTACCTCTCCAACCCAAAGCAGAGTGTTAGCGGTCACAGGTTCTGCCCAAAATGTTCCAACATTCTGTCTTCATCAGGCTCCACAATGTAGCACCCTTTTTGAGAAGCACTAACAGGCAGATTTTGGTTTTTTTTTTATAATTGACCAACAGTTCCACTCAGTGAATTTTGAATTGTCCATTTATGCGGAGGAAGAATACATTAATGTAGGACTAAAGGCAAAACCTTTTTTTTACATTTTGGATAGAGTAAGTGAGGGTTAAAATCCCAGTCAGTTTCCTTTGCCATCTGTGTCCCATTGGCAAGATTTCCCTTGGCATCCTGTACTATAGCTAAAACAAAAAGTAAGAAGAAATCTATCCAAAAAGTATGGGAATCCCTGGTTGTCATCAGAACTATGGTCCCCATTGATGGATTTCCCCTCTATTCCCATTCTGGTGACAACCCAAAATTTGGGATTTTCTTTTACATTCACTCTCAGTGATAACAGTAAATGGGACAAACAGAGAATGTGAATCTCCCTAATGGGGGCACAGATGGGAAAGAAAAATTTGACAGGTGTTCTACTTTTTCCCAACTCTGTCCAAAATTAAAAAAGGAAAATTTGCCTTTAGTTATATATACAAAATAACACAATTATCCGGTCATGAAGGTTCTTGTTAAGAAATACCATGGAGCCACTGGTTGGAGTATATATATTTTTTTTAATTAGTATTTTTTTTAGTTATAAAAAAACAAAAGCCTTCTGAAAACCTACAAACCTGCTGGTTAAGCTGCACATTATCCTTCTCTGTTCCATTTGTGATATTTAGAACCCAGTGTTGTAGCATCTTAAAGACATCTTCAGGCTCCAACCTGTGATGAATGTATATATTTATATTCACATACTGTGCAGATATATACTTGATAACAATGGTATTAGGTGCTGAAAGCAACCAATTGGTGGCACTGTCCAATATCCAAGCCAAAACCATGTCAACAGCACAACCAAAATGCTTCTTCAGTAGCAAAGTAGAACAATTAAGGTTCAAACATATTCCAATCTTTCCTCAAATGCTTAAACTCTCACCAGCAAACAGAAAAATAATAGCATTGTTACAATTACATCAGCAATCGAGTAAACATAATAAAAAAGCATATTAGGCATTGCATAAAAATAAAAAGCTTCTGACAGTACATGCTGGATTGCACCATGCACTCTGTGCTTATGTGCAATCATCATTGCTGATGTCATTGTGATATCAAATTGCTATTAACATTCTGTTGGTTGAGAATTGCTTAAATATTCACAGGGGTCCTATATTTTAAGTATGGCAAAAAAAAGTGTGAAGCTTCTGCTTCTGCTGAAAAAACACTGAGCTTATCTGCAACCCTAATTGTTGAAATCATGATGCCAAATGCTAATTGCTATTGGTACTCGGTTGGCTGGGAAATATTCACATTAATCTTGTATGTTCAAGGATATCTGAAACTTGATAATAAGACCTTGTTGAGGGTTTGAAATACTGGTGATATGTGATGATATACACTTTAATAATGTTTATGCTATTGTTGTACTTAGGATGCAATAAATTAACCTTTATAAACACAGTTAAGCTGGAAATCTGTAGATTTGTTAAAGAAGCACTCCGGAATAGGCAAAAATAATCACCAATCAATACACCCTCCTACACGAAACACTAAACAGTTAATAACATTTTGAAAATCCTTACCATTTAGGAGAAATTTCTAACTGAATTTTCATGACCTCATCTCTGTAATTCAAAAGATACCAGCATCTGCTTTGTCAAGAAGGAGGTGCAATAGCAGGAATTACATCCTCTAATCTCCTCTCTCAATGCACTAAAAGGAAACTACAGTTCCCATCAACCACAGGGAATTGTAGTGAATGTGGATGGGTACACTAGGCTTGAACATGTTGATTGTGTCTGAGCATCCCAATCTGCCCACCAGTGCACTTAAGACTGAAATGCATCACTGCTTCCTGGAGAAAGAACTACAGAAGGGATGTGCAAAGACCACTGGCTGGGGGAATAAAAGGCTTAGCAGCCACCAGTCGTACCAACAGGAAACCACAGAGAATTAACAGTTTGATTTGAAAATGCAAAGGCTATTTCAAAGCAACTACTGAGTGAACCAGAAGATGGATGACATATTCATTGAAAGTAGGAACAAGGACATGTAAAGAAGTTTTTGTCTGGAGTTCTCCTTTAAGCATATACTTCTCTGTAGGCCCCATTAGTATCTGCACATCGCTCTTATGCACATTTTTCATGCATTTGATGTGTGACAATATAGGGCATTCTGTACACTTGAATGTGCTGCTGTACATACAATAAAGTAGCTCCTGCACCTTTTTTGGGTGGTAAGCCGTATGTGTTTTTTTGTTTCATGTTTGCTATCCACGTTTGGGGTGCCATTAGGGATTAAGGATCAATGGCATCACAAGCGCGTCTTAGCATAGGTTTCTGCAAACATTACTGGAACGCATAGGTGTAAATGGGGCCTCAGATGGCAAAAATTTATGAGTACTATCTAAATTGCATAAATATTTTCAAAAACATCTTTTACTGTAAATATTATTATTATTATGTTATTTATGATTCAGCATTTGTTATTACCCACCTCCAGCTTCCCTCACCCCATGTGTTTTCCCCCAGCATCCCATAATCAAATATACAAATCAGAATGTGTTCTTGCTATTGTTATTTCAAGAGAGAACACATTTGTTGTAGGTGCAAATAAAAGTAGCAAAAATTGAAGCGCTTTGTTATAAAGACTTTGAATTGCGGTCAATTTTTGCATAAAAGAAAAAAAAAATCTATAAATTAACACTTTTCATACTCTTCAATTGTATTTAGGATGGGTTTCTCTTCTGAATATGAACTCCCAATTATTTCCAGTAATCTTTCTGCTTGAGCAGTCCATTCAGGTAGAAGATGATATATGTTTGACCAGTCAGATTCTTTTGTCTCACTGGGGGCATATTTAAATCCATACATTGGCACAGAGCAGTTTTCCAAGCTGCTTAAAAATGTCATGAGTCCTCTGGCAACACCTGTCAAAACAAACAAAAGATTAGGAACTAGGTCTCCAATAAACTGACTTTCTACATTAATCATTGGACATTATCCTAAGCGCTCCAACATAACCGTTGGGCCCCAACAAGCTGGCCATCAAAAGAAAGTATATTACAGACTGCTGAACTGTGGGAGCGGCACATTGCTCCTTAGTTAGGATTGCCATAGTACAGGGTTCAGGAAAAGTTTCTCTCTACATCGGATGCTTGTTTTTACAGTATATTTCTTTCTACTGTTCACCTATTTGAAATATATTCCTTTCTATAATTTAACTGTTTGCTGTATCATTGCTGTTGTGTCATATGTCTTTTGCTACCAGGGTCCTGCATATACAGTACATCTGCCATAAATATACCCCACTCAGCAGGGTGTGTCAGAGCGTGCGATGCTATCTGCAGAGTCATGGGCACAGGAACAAGAGGCCCAATTCTGGGGTATTTCAATTGTTATATATTTCTATCACTTTAAAAGGGTTTTATATATAGTTTGGATTTTATGACTGTATACATGTATTACATATACATGTAGAACTACCCCCTTAGGAGTTGCTTAGTTATTTTCAGGCTCCCTGTCGTTCTGGACACCTTTCTGAAAGCCCAACCCTACTGACACCACAGGACTCATTTGACCAAAGTAGAAAACTGATAAACCGTAAACTGATATGAAGTTTATATTACACTTCAGTGTAAGCTTGGTTAAACAGTACAAAATAGTATTGGTACGCGTAATGGCAATTATTACTCTTAGTAACTAAGCAAAGAAACCACACATACAGCAGATGGGTGGAAGCCTTACATGTTTCCAGAGGTAGCCGAAAATTTTGGGCCAAATGTGACACAAAGGGTTTGCGTTTGTGGGCTCTCTTGTCAATGCTGTTGAAAGCAGATGTTAAATCTGGATTGCTAGAGAGATGAGGTCATCCAGGTTAGTGCCAGCTCAACCTTAATGTGCTCTGCCAGGCCCAGCCAGAAGTTGTAGTTCCACTGCAAGCATGTGAAACTGAACAGAAAACTGCCCACAGTAAGGATACCTGGATGGAGCTGAAGGAGAGCACTTGCTGCAGAAGAGTCACAAGTAGGTTCATCAAAGACTTTCCCAAAGACAGGTAAAACTATTGTTATACTGTTATGAACAGGATCAGGTTTTCCCCAGCGTGGTGCGGCCCAGACCAAAGTATCCCCAGTGAGCATGTACACATTTGCCGCCTTGGCTCTGTCAGTTGGGAAATGCTGTGGCTGCAGTTCATAGTGTAGATTACATTGGTTCACAAAGATGCGTCAGGCCTTCGTATCTCCTGAAATGCGAGAGGTGTTGGAGACAGGGCCGGCTGTTCAGGTGCTGCAGCAAGGGAAGCCTGGATTTGATCCAAGTATATCAAGACCACATGGAGATAACACACCATCTGAACTTGGTCGGCATCATAGGCAAGAAAGCCTTTGGAAGAGACCTCATTTGGATCAGAGCAGGCCACAACCAAAAACAGGTGACACTCACTTGCAAAGCTGGGTAACACAGGAATCAGTGGCAGGAGTGTATGAGAAGACAGTGAGGCACAGAGGAGAAACAGGCTGGGAGTGCACAGGTGCTGATAATGAGGGGCTGACTGAGACACACAGGGTTCAGACATGCAGGAACTAACCAAAGTGCAGAGTTTGAAGAGAGACTAATGCAGGCCATAGACGGAGAGAAAAACGGCCGATTTTTCTTTTAAAAAAACGAAAAATTGGTCGTTCAAGCGGCCGACGTTACCATCAATGGTAAAAAAAAAAAAAATCGGCCGATTTTCATCCCATCTACAGCCGGCAAAAAGTGTCCCTGCAGAGAGCTCCGCTATTTCTTTGACAGTTCTTTGACAGTTCCTTGACATTTACAGCGGTTGCAACATTGTATCTATTTGTTTCCATTTAGGATACAGATGTTTTTATTCGGAAACAAATAGATACAATGTTGCAACCGCTGTAAATGTCAAGGAACTGTCAAAGAACTGTCAAAGAAATAGCGGAGCTCTCTGCAAGGACAACTTTTTGCTGGATTGGAATTCCTCTTATTTTTCATCCTACTTCTTCTTCATCATCATCCTCTTCTTCACCATCATCATCCTCTTCTTCTTCTTCACCATCATCATCCTCTTCTTCTTCTTCACCATCATCATCCTCTTCTTCTTCTTCACCATCACCATCATCCTCTTCTTCATCATCACCATCATCCTCTTCTTCATCATCATCATCCTCTTCTTCATCATCCTCTTCTTCATCATCCTCTTCTTCATCATCCTCTTCTTCATCATCCTCTTCTTCATCATCCTCTTCTTCTTTTTCTTCTTTTTGTCTTCCTCTTGCAGGTCACTGCTCATGCGCAGATTTTTTATCGGTAAAAAATCGGCCGATTTGCCCATCATTGCCGCGAAAATCGGCCGATCGGCAAAATCGGCCGATTTTTTTTCCAACTTTACCGATAAAAAAACCTGCCAAAATACCGAAAAACGGCTGAACAAATAGCCCACTAACGATCCGAAAATCGGCCGATTTTATTTTCGGCCGAAAAATCGGCCGATTTTCGACCCATCTATGGCCTGCATAAGGCTCCTTTTGCACGGACGTTATGTTTTTTTTATCAGTTCAGTCACGTTTTTTATAACGAAAAAAATGGATCAATTTTTATCAGTTTTTCATCAGTATACATCTGTTTTTCATCAGTTTACATCGGTTTTTTTCATCCCTTTACATTCGTTTTACATCCATTTCTCATCCGTTTACATCCGTTTTTCGTCCGTTCTGTTTTTTTTTTTCACGGAAGAGGGTTTCCTTCCGTTCAAACAAATGTATGTTAACGGATACATACATTAACGGATGATCATCCATTTACATCCGCTAGTCCATAGAAATACATGGGTGTCTGTTTTTCATCCGTAAACAGACAGATGAAAAACTGACATACGGAACGCCTATGTGAAAGAAGCCAAAGGATTGGTAAAAATGCATGTAATCACTGAGGTAGAACACAGAAGGAGGACACAAGGAACACAAGTACAGGCGCAGGGTCACAGGAAGGAGTATGCAAGACTGAATGCAGACTGGAACCCAAAGACATTGGGATACAGAAAAACACAGTCTAGGTGTAAAAAGAGCACAGAGGCAATACTTGGAAAACATTGGATAAATCACTGGGGATCACTGGGATTCCAACTGCTAGCATGTAGATAAATTGCTTAAACACTGAGTAATCCACATGCTAGCCTCCTAAGACAGTGTCCCCTCTGTGACATGTTGGAAGCCGGTGGTTGCACAGGAAAGCCCCAGAACTTGAATCATGGAACAGGCAAGTGTGACGTCATCTACCTACATATGGATATTTTATCTCACTGTTAATTGTAAGCAACCTATCTTTTCAGAATGATTGGTAGCTGTTGAACACTTGAACTAGGCTGAGAGCTGGGGAAGAATAGTTTTTTTATTTTTGGTATGAAAGATGAACTGTTTTACTCAAAATAATATACTTTGGTTATGCTAATATTCATTCTATTGATTATTGTGAACTTAAACCATATTGATAAATCCACTTTCAGCCATAACTTAAAGGAGAACTTCACTCAAAAAGTGAATTGCTGTTGGTCGCAGCCTGTAACTGAGATAAAGTTTTTTATTGGGGGGGGTGGATCCTCATCTAGATGAGAATGAGGTTTCCTTTCCCTGCCCTCTCCCCTCCCACAATATTTTAAGACACTGACTTGAAGCAGTATTAAACCCAAAATTACAAATTCAATATATTGCAGCTTAACAATCCTTAGATATGGTGGCTGTGTTAGTTTTCTTTTTTTTCAGCTTGTTTCCCCCTGTTTTCACCTGGCTTTAGATCTACTAGCAGCTTTAGATACACTAACAAAATTAAGCCAAACTCCAGGTCACACTGCAGTTACACAAACCGTGACAGCAACAGTTTTTTTCTTTTGGGATAAAAGTTTTACATAAATAAAAAGCTGATCATTGTAAGCAACCTTGTGGTAAATGGTTGGTCTCAACACTCTAATTGCTACATCTGCAGGAGAGTTTGTTCTGTTGAAAAACAACAGACATGCTGGTTAAATCACCAGGTGAAAATAAAGCAAAGCCTGAAAAACAAAAGTAATGCAGCCATCACATGTAAGAATTGGTTAGCTGTAATATAATAAATGTTTGCTTTTGGGTTTAATACACACAAAAAACATACTGAAGTTCCCCTTAGATTTGGTTCACACCAATGCATTTTTTAGTACTTTCTGCAGAAACGTGCTACAGATTGCCTAAACACACAACATGGTTTTCTATAGGACATGCTCACATCAATACGTTTTTCAGCTGCTGCGTTTTTGGAAAGGGTCAGGAACTTTTTAAAATGCAAAATGGTTTAGGTTCAATAGACTTCAATGTAGACACAGCAGAAAACACATTTAGTGCATTTTTAAGCATTTTTCATGCGTTTTGCATTTTTTAATCTGGTCAGCAAAAAGTTGGCCAAAGAAAACCCATAAAAAACGCAAAAAATTCAAAAGGCATCAAAAACCATGAAAACCGTGTCAGAAATGCATGTGCAAAAACGCAAACTGCACTGCAAAAACAGATCAAACGCAAACTGCATTGGTGTGAACCAAGGCTTAAGGAGCTTGCAGGACTCTAAGGCTCTCTCTGCCTATATACAAGTGATTTCCAAAAAGACTTTTGACTACGTCTAAGACTAAAACAGCAACAGCAGGTAAGCTGCAATATGATAAATGCTGCTTTTGGGTTTAATTAAGAAAAAACAAATCCTGAAGTTCTTTTTAAGTTGCTTGCAGGACCACAAAGACCACAAGGCTCTCTCTGCCTATATACAAGTGATTTCCCAAAAAACTTCTGAGTTCATCAGGACTGGATTATGGAATCATATCTAGTGAACATGCACATACTATACTATACTATGTAAACATAAATGTGCAAGTACAAATCTAATAAACTTCACCACCTAAAGTAATCAAGAGGAAACAGGTGTGAGGACGCTACCACCTCCCTCAGTAACTGCTTTGACCCAAGAGTGGCTGAAACGCTCACAAGTAAATGAAGCGTAGAAACGGCTGGTACTCAGGATGGAATCATAATTAACATTAAGCATAAAGTTCATTATGATATGACATCCATATTAATGATAAAATATATACTTTTTCTTTGTTATATATATGTACTTGTCTTTGTTGCCTTTTTTGCCTGGGTAATGGTCTTCTGCCTGGTTCATGTTGGGTTTTTTGCATTACCGAGTAATTTTAATGCACTCGTGTGATTCTCATGTGACTTATTTGTAATACTATATGTGTGTTTTTCCTTACTTTACACTAGCCAAGACTAAGGACTGACGTTTTTAGCCTTGTACATGCTTTAATAAAAGATATATACAGTTGGATTTCATCCTGAATGCCGGCCTTTTCTGCACTTCACCTAAAGTAATCACCCTGCTTTGCGCAACAATGGAAAGGGCCTCAACTAAGCCGGCAGATGTCTATAACATAGGGTTAATTGGATTTTAAGGTTCTGTCTGTTAGCAGCACTGGTGTGCAGGAGGTTAACAGACTTTCAGGCCTAAGCACAGTGAAGTTTATTAGGTTATTTGCACATATACACTGTATTGCCAAAAGTATTGGGAAGCCTGTCTTTACACTCACATGAACTTTAATGGCATCCCAGTCTTAGTCCGTAGGGTTCAATATTGAGTTGGTCCACCCTTTGCAGCTATAACAGCTTCAACTCTTCTGGAAAGGCTGTCCACAAGGTTTAGGAATGTGTCTATGGGAATGTTTAACCATTCTTCCAGAAGCGAATTTGTGAGGTCAGGCACTGATGTTGGATGAGAAGGCCTGGCTCGCAGTCTCCACTCTAATTTATCCCAAAAGTGTGCTATTGGGTTAAGGTCAGGGCGCTGTGCAGGTCAGTCAAGTTCCTCCACCCCAAACTTGCTCACCCATGTTTTTATGGATCTTGCTTTGTGCACTGGTGCGCAGCCACAGTGGAATAGGAAGGGGCCATCCCCAAACTGTTCCCACAAAGTTGGGAGCATGAAATTTTGTAAAATGTCTTGGTATGCTGACGCCTTAAGAATTCCCTTCACTGGAACTAAGGACCAAGCCCAACCCCTGTGGTCATGCAAGTACTGTTCTCCTGGTAACCGCCAAACCAGACATGTCCATCGGATCGCCAGACAGAGAAGCATGATTCATCACTCCAGAGAACATGTCTCCACTGCTCTAGAGTCCAGTGGTGGCGTGCTTTACACCATTGCATCTGACGCTTTGCATTGTATTAGTGATGTAAGGCTTGGATGCAGCTACTTGGCCATGGAAACCCATTCCATGAAGCTCTCTATGCACTGTTGTTGTGCTAATCTGAAGGCCACATAAAGTTTGGAGGTCTTTAGCTATTGACTTTGCAGACAGTTGGTGACTTTTGTGCACTGTGTTTCAGCATGCGCTGGCTCTGCTTTGTCATTTTACATGGCCTACCACTTCGTAGCTGAGTTGCTGTTGTTCCCAGTTGATCCACTTTGTTATAATACCACTAACAGTTGACCGTGGAATATTTAGTAGCAAGAAAATTTCACGGATATACTAATTGGACAGGTGGCAACCTATCACTGGTACCACGCTTGAATTCACTGAGCTCCTGAGAGCGTTCCATTCCCTCAAACGTTTGTGCTCAGTGCTTGATTTTTTACATCTGTGGCCATACACCTGAATCCAATGATTTGGAGGGGCGTCCCAATACTTTTACTATTTTATTATTTATATAGTTTTTCCTTCTGAGAATTTGGTTGAAATACACCTGGAAAAAGGTTGTGCAGAGAGTTATCTACATAAACATCTGCTGAACATGTCAATTTATGCTGGTAGATCAGTTAAATAGGCAAGATGTTCTATAGTTGCTCTCAATTCTCTCATTTTCAAGGAACATAAAAAGTACAGGAGTTTCCGTTTAAACTGTAGACTGCCACCATAATGTATACATCCTTCCAAGTTTCTTACCATTTTCCCCTTCCACTCTTCTCCTGTATTGCTCAGATAGCATCTCTATTGTGTTATTTAGATTGTCCATGGCTTTGTGCTCTGGAGATGGAGCACCATCTAAGCCCTGATGTCTTCTAAGAACTTCCTCTCCAAACTGAGACCATTCCTTTTGGATGTCAGCAGCTGCTTTCAAAGACTCTTGACTGCTCAGAACCTTATTCCCTTCAAACTGCTGTTGTTCTTCAGCCAGCATCTATGTGTGCATTTAAAATATGATGAAAAGAGCACAAATGCATTTACAGGAGATCAAACATATACGGTAGTTACAGAGATAAACGTTATTCAACTTTTGTGTCACAGTAACTGGTATTGACTTATATTATGGTACAGGGTGCTTGGACTGTAATTCTGAGAATTGAGAAAACATTAATAGTCAGATAATAAATACTTGGGGCCTCATGAATAAAAACAGTTAGAGGTTCTTATTGGTCATAGAGATTACCCCTACATTGGTCAGTTCTTTTTGCTAAACCAAATGAAAAAACTGACCCGATTTCCCCATCCACACATTCAAAGTGAATGGGGGATTTGAATCCTCCCCACTGAGCTATTGTATTCTGTCAGCAGGGAGACTTCCTGCCATAAGAATACACTGACCATTGCTGCAGTTAATAGCCTGCAGTGCTGATTGAGCACCTAAAATCTGACAGGGTGGTTGTACAGAATTTAATTTGTAGATCCCTGCTGAACTATCCAAATCTAGATCCATGTATGGGCACGTTTAATCAGATTTTCCCTTCTGTTGCCAGTTCTGAACAAAAGCATGAAATGTAGCATCTTACTAGTGACACAGAAGTGACAAATTCACAAACCAAACTGATTTCTGTAACTCTTCTTCTGTAACTCATTTTTAATAGCTTTTTTCTTTATTTGGCCTTTTCTGCCTGTATAAAATATTCAGTATCAGCTGGGATACTTCCTTCTTTTTTAAAACTACAGTCCAGGCAATCATCCACATACATACAGGAATATGTACAAAACAGTTTAAAATGTTCATGCTGAAGGATTTTTAATTCTGTTTCACAGATTTTTCACAATAATTGCAAACTGTAAATACTTTTTTAGCAATAGCTGCAATTATTTAAATCTATATTTACAAGTTTGCATATAAAGTTTCTATGTATAGTTTTAAATAAAACATACATACATTTTCCCAGCTTTTCAGGTCTTCAAGCACTGCTACAGCTATATCATCTGGTACTGTGTAGTAGTTCCAATCTACACTAATCAAAGAACAAAAATGCAGGCACAAATCAGCATTAACAAAATAAGCAATCTCTCAACTATAAACAGTAAAATAATAGCATTTAAAATCAATATGCTATTTCTCCTTCCAACACTGCAAATATGAGCACTGACATCCTTCACCTGTGTATATACAGTTCAAAACGTTCTACTTAAATACTTTTCTACCTGCCATTTTTTTCAGTTTTTGCACATGTTAAAAAGATAACTTTTGACTTACCTGTAAATTCCATATCCTGGAGTACACTACAGGACACAGGCAAATTATTCATAGACTCTGAGCTATAGGCTAATACCTTGAAATGATTGGACACTTGCAAGTTTTTGAGGACACATCGCTGGGTTCCTCCCCTATTACCCTACCCCACTCTGTGAATCCTCACTATTACAGCAAGTAATGCTGAGTAACCAAGGAATGGAAAGGGGGGGGGGGGCAGTGTCTTGTATAGTACTCCAAGATATGGAATTTACAGGCAAGTCAAAATTCCTCTTATCTTAATAGTACAGTACAGGACATAGGCTAAGACCAACCACATAGACCCTAGGATATCCCCAAGCAATAAATTAGAATGGTGGACAATAACTAGGCAAACAGAATCTGTGCCAACAGCCTCAACAACAAGAAGGACCAAAAAGACCAAACTTCAAAGTGCCGCTGCAAGAAGATTGGACATCCACCTGATAGAAAAAGTATGAACAGAGGACCAGGTGGTGACCTCACACAGCTGGGCTACAGAGGCTTCATGCCAAAATGCCCAGAAAAACGCCCACAGATCTGTGGAATTGGTGCATAAAAGCGCAGGAAGAGATTTGTCATTGGGATTGTAAGCTCTATTTATCAGATTTCTTACCTATCACACAATTATGGACTTGGAAACAGGATGTCCTTTGTGAGATCCTCTGGACAAGACAAATAGATCCATCTGTCTGATCAAACCTGTAAATTTGAGATAGACTAATGGTTCTGACTATGTCCAGGCAAAGAGAGATTTCCTTTGGATGCTTTGCAGCAGGGCATAAAGATGGTAAAACTATGCCCTCATTGAAGTGGAAGATGATACCACCTTGGGAAGAAAGGATGGTCATGTGTATAAGACTTACTTTGAATTGACAGCTCTCTCTTTAAGGAGCGGTTCCTTATACTTCACAGAGACACATTTTACAGACATGATAACAACCTTGCAGCAAAGGTCATCTGATGGGTTCAAAGGGTGGTTTCAGCAAGCTAGGGAGAACCAAGCTGAGATTCCAAGGAAGCACAGGGTCCTACAATTGGGGCTTAATGTGAGCTACGTCTTGTAAAAAGTTAAGCCAGAGGTCCTTGAAAAAAGAATGGATAAGGCCAAAACCTGTTATTTCAGAGTGATAAAGGCCCAGTTCTGGTCAAGATCTAATTGTAGAAAGGCCAGAATTTGAGGGACCGAATAATCTCTGGGATTAGGTGCCTGTGTTCATACTATTTAAAGAAGGCATTTCCAGATACGATAGATCTTCCTGTCAGTGGCTTTCCTTCCTTTCAGCAAGGTAGGACTAACAGACTCAGGAGAAAGTCTACTAGATAACCTGTGACCCGGATGCCCTGAGTTCTTGGATAGGCAAGAAGTGTCAGGACCTCTGTGAATACTCTGGGAGTAGAATATAGGCTAAAAGGCAGTGCAAGAGACAGGAAGTGATTCAAATCCTTTGAACCTGTGTTGTGGGGGTACTGGCACAACTACTCCTTGTAACGAGATGATTCAGGATTTTTTTGGAAATCTGACCGTCCTTGAACAGTCTTTTGTTGATTTGAGAGAAGAAAGCAGTGAGGGATATAGTCTTAAACCCTATTTTGTACCCCCATGAAACACCAACTGAACCCACATGTCTGGGATGGCTGTGAACCTGAGGGAAGAAAACTGTAACAGATTTCCTCCCCACCCTTAATAGTGAGCGCACCCTTTCATTGGGAAGAAGGATTTGGGAAAGACTTGGGTTTTATAGCTATAGTCTTGCACCGAAAGAAAGGGCTGAACGTAGGTTTTAAAGTTGAGGCCTGGGTAGGTGCTCTAAGTTTTTCTCCTGAGGAGGGAGTTTGGAATTTTCCACTGTGAAAGTAAAACCTTCCCTCCCGTGACACATTTTATAAATTGGTCAAGTGCTTCCTCAAACAGATGTCTTCCTTAAAAAAAGTCACAAGATTCTGTACATATATGAAAATACACAGCAAAAACAATCCCAATCCAATATCCCAAAAAAGTTATCCACCTCCACCCTTGAAGGCCAAACAGACAAAATATATAAAACTTTTTCTTTTTTTACCCAAATAATAAATATATCCGCCAATCCCACCTAACAGGAAGTGTCCCAAAAAATATATATAGTGTCCCAAATGTCTCAATTCTCAAAATAAATCTCCAAACATGTAGACCATTAAATTCTTTCTTCTTCAAACTTGCAAATCCTGATGACAATTAAACCTCAAAAGAAAAAAAACTTAACATAGTGTCATACCATTTAAATAATAATAAAACACACGTGCCACTCTCTGTGCAACATGCAAAATCTATGTACACGTGTATGCTCTATAAGTGAGTATCTCTATACAAGCAAAAATTATAACAATGGACGACACTCACATAAAGTGTCAGCTACAAACAAACGTGAAAAACTAAAGATATCACTCCAAACGATGTGTATCACCACACTCTGTATATAAGTGTACACCTTAGACCCAAACCCACACTCTCCACCTCATGTGCTGATGGATAATTACCCTATGCAAGAAAATGTAGGGCATCACATCACTCTGAGTTGCTATCTCTTCATTCAGATATCAAGCTTCCTCCAATCCTAAGATTATTCCTCCATTTCCCTCATGAGGAAATTCACAGTTACCAATCGTGGATAAAAACACAATTTTCTTTTATTTGCCAACTTACATTAAAATAAAGGTGAAGCAGCTCCTCCTCACAGGGATACGGATACAAACAAGTTTAGGGAAACATTAGCCACATGTTCCCACTTCCAAGATGGCCGCGATCGCACTTCCGGTCAGCGTCGATACGTCTGACGTCACGTGTCCCTAAGGGGACACGTGACGTCAGACGTATCGACGCTGACCAGAAGTGCGATCGCGGCCATCTTGGAATCCACGATTGGTAACTGTGAATTTCCTCATGAGGGAAATGGAGGAATAATCTTAGGATTGGAGGAAGCTTGATATCTGAATGAAGAGATAGCAACCCAGAGTGATGTGATGCCCTACATTTTCTTGCATAGGGTAATTATCCATCAGCACATGAGGTGGAGAGTGTGGGTTTGGGTCTAAGGTGTACACTTATATACAGAGTGTGGTGATACACATCGTTTGGAGTGATATCTTTAGTTTTTCACGTTTGTTTGTAGCTGACACTTTATGTGAGTGTCGTCCATTGTTATAATTTTTGCTTGTATAGAGATACTCACTTATAGAGCATACACGTGTACATAGATTTTGCATGTTGCACAGAGAGTGGCACGTGTGTTTTATTATTATTTAAATGGTATGACACTATGTTAAGTTTTTTTCTTTTGAGGTTTAATTGTCATCAGGATTTGCAAGTTTGAAGAAGAAAGAATTTAATGGTCTACATGTTTGGAGATTTATTTTGAGAATTGAGACATTTGGGACACTATATATATTTTTTGGACACTTCCTGTTAGGTGGGATTGGCGGATATATTTATTATTTGGGTAAAAAAAGAAAAAGTTTTATATATTTTGTAAGATTCTGTA